AACAGCCATTGCAGGCGCTTTTGTGGTCATCCGTCCTTTGTTGAATGTGACGACGAGTCCTTCCTTTTGAAATCGACGGCATTATTTCTTCTATAAAATGATTAGGTCTTCTTCAAAGAACGCTGAGACCATTACTCTAATTCGTGTCGCCAACTTTAGTTTCGAAAAGAAAATTCCAGTTTCCCAATCTTTAATTTGAGGGCTTCTTTGTAGGGCTCGTCACGGAGCAACGTTCTTTTTGCTGTAACAATCGGCCACGCACTCACCCACGAAATGTCGGCAAGACACGCTGAGCGTCACACGATTGTGGATCAATTCAAATACCACTTGCGTCATCACATTAAGCCGGACGGTGTGAATTGGTCTTGTAAACCTTTCTGTGAAGACGCTCTCCTCTTTTCCCACTGCCTCCCATTCCACCCCTCGCGCCAAGGCGCAGACCGGAAAGCAGACGATTGGCTGTCCGCGCGAAGTGCTCGACCAAATGCTCACCTGCCACATCCACTTGGACTATTTGGAGGATCCACGATTCCTGCCCTGCGGACACACGTTCTGCAGGAACTGCCTGACCCAGTTCCTCAGTCGCTTCATCGTCGAATCGACGCCGTCGTCGACGTCGACGTCGCAGCTGCACTCGGCCGGCGGCACTCGGTTTCCCTGTCCCATCTGCCGCGACCAGTGCGACCTTCCGCCGCTCGGCGACGCGTCGGCCTTTCCGAAGGCCTTCTTCTTCAACAATCTCCTCGAAGTGGTCAAGCGCTCGCGCAGCGCACCCTCCAGCCCCGCCACCAGCGAATCGGAGCACAGCTCCTCCAAGCAGCCGCCCATTGGCTAGACCCGCGCCCTCGCCCCATCCTCCCCCTCTTTGTCTTCCTCTCGCCAAAGCCGACGGCGATGGTCTCCGGCCGGAGACGGTCGAGTCGCGCCCCGCCTCGCCGGACGGCCTCGACCTGACGAGCTGCTGGTTCCGTCAGGCCGCCGAGCAGATGAAGAATGCCCACCCGCCGGCCAGCGCGCCGCCGTTGCTTGGCGACGCGGGTTCGGCCGACGTAGGCAACGTCGACGAGTCGAGTCCGCGCCGCGCAGGGATGAGCTACGACGAAACTCGCGAATTCGAGCATGCGCCGTTGGCGTTGCCGTCAGCGTTGGCGTTGGTTGAGACGGGACAGCCTGACTCAGTGATCTCCAGCAATCATGCCAATTTGCATATGCCCGCCTAAGGACACGAGCTTAGTCCATTTCGGTCGGATCCCAGATTCCCAATTCCGTTGGGGGCTTAAGTCCAACCTTTCTGTACTTTTAGCTCACACTTTCTCTCGCATTGAGACCAAAAATAAAAGCTAGACCCCTCAACAAAACCTTGCGCAATCGGAGTGATGATCATAACATGAATGTAGAAAAAGCGAGATTGTGGTCATTAAAACGAATGCTACTTTCGCTGTCCTAATTACTTTTGAGCCATGACTGCGGATTTCGTGCATAAGCGAACACAAACAGGTACACACGCATACAGAGACTGACACACTTTCAGGCTTCGAAGTTGACATATGACCTTAACAATCCAAATCACTTCATACTTGATTAAAGAGGTCAGATTTAGAGTGCATATTCCACTTTTTAGGGATTTGCCGCTCAGTTTTATTGACTCATTAGCTTGAATTTTGTTTTGACAATGATTCCCAGCAATCATGCCAATTTGCATATGCTCGCCTAAAGCACGAGCTTAGTCCATTTCGGACGGAGTCAAGATTCCCAATTTCGTTGGAAGCTTAAGTCCATCCTCTGTGTACTTTTAGTGCACTCTTTCTATCTCGCATTAAGACCAAAAAGAAAAGGTAGACTCATCAACTAAGCCATGCGCTATTTCGTAAAGGCTATGGAGGGCTGGTTATCCTAGAAGTTGTTTTTATCCCGGCTAAAGAGGACTGAAGTTTCGACCTCGCAGATGTCTTATAAACACCCCCCAGCGGCAGTTGAAGCATGACAGTGCAGCGTGCAATCTCAACAGGTTAATTACTCCACCACATTGTCATGATTACCCTAGGGTCACAGGCCAGATGTGAATTTCAAGGAAGGCTAGGCCGGGCTTGTCATATTAAACGAAATAGGGTGAATACATCGTATATAACTGATTTACTTGTAGTCTCGAAACAATACTTAATGCAAAAAATCAAGTGACCCTACTTGAGATTATTGTAAATAATAGAAATAGCGTGATGTGTAAAACATCATGATTTATATGGACTTAGTTAAAGCAAATCTCCGAAACGTAGAGGTTTTCAGTAGA